TCTGTTTGGAAAACTACGTACTACTGGTTATTGTATTTTTACTACTATGTTTGAATTTGTGTTTGAATTATATATGTGTTTCAATTATATGTGTTAAATTGGTCATTTAATTGTTATATAATAGAATAATTAGTTGTACTTAACTACTCAAATAATTAAAAAGTCAAATAATAAGTAAATAATTAAATTAAAAAATAAATAAAAAATTAATTTTACTTTGCAAATTAATTGTCAAAACATAAGATCAATTGTCTTATTTATCTAAAATACAATGTACCTAATATAAAACGATTTCTTGAATATCATATATCCAATCTCTCATCAATCACCTTAGGGCAACCTTACACTTTTAAGAAGAGTTTGTTAATGTCATATACCTTATGAAGCATCAATTACATTTATGAAGCAACTTGAGAAAAATGTATTTTTGCAAATATGATGGTATGGAATCATAGGAAATGTGTTACAAATTTCAAAAATGAACTGGACAACTNAAAATTTATTTTTCATNACATGGTANAACTGCGTAAATAGGTAAAACNTCAAAAGGANAACTATGTNTTATATTTGTAACACTGAAATACTTGGAACAATTATGTGTTACATAACGGCGTACATGTCTTAAAACGTGGCATATAACGACGCACATATCTTATTTACGTTGTTTACTTTGATTGGGTCTATATAAGTTTGGGGGTTTCTTTTTTTATTTAAATTAGTTTTCCCCAAAGTTAAAAAGTTAAATAGTTCTAGTTGTACCCAATAATTCTAGTTGTACATATGATATGTTCTCAGTTGTACCTAATAGTTCTAGTTCAATTTTTAGATTCATGGAATTTTGATTACAGTGTCTTTCCGTTTTCCTTCTACAACGACATGAAATCAAATTGAAGAAGCAAGAGAACGATTCAAATTGGATAATGCAATGGAAAATAGATCACCACGAGAGGTGGCGACGACAATAATGATCCCTTTTTTTATGCCAATCATGAACAAGTTTGGAATTTAACTCGACGGTTTCCATGGAATAAACCTTTTATAAGTAGGTGGAATCTCAAAAATTTGTCGCAGTTTCTAAAATTCCACCACGGATTCTCTTATGGTGATGCCTAGCTCTGTGGTAGTGTTGCTAGAAATTGACGAAGAGATCGTTGACGACCTAGACGAAAATGGATTCCGACAAAGTTCTAGTGTTACCTCAGTTGTACCCAGTAGTACATGAGATTAGAACAAAACACATCAACATTATCAAATTCGAAGGGCATGGATTGTTAACTTGGCTCACGATGATTGGAGCCGATGCTTAATCCACTAGCAAGTTCTATTTGTCATTAATCTCTTTTCTCTTCTAGCCGTTTCTCTTCTTCGTCTTCTTTAATTTTTATATTCATGAAATTCGATACTTGGTCTGGAAATTCCAAAAAAAAAAAAATGTTTCCAAACAAATCCAACACTTGCAAAGAGCAATTGCCCTTTAAAGGGATGGTGGCGAGTGAACATGTGGTAGTGGCAAATGGAC